AGGCAAGGGTTCCAAATGCTGAGAAAAGCCATTAAATTCTTGAAGAGGTGAATTGCTATTTTGGAGCTATACATAGCTTAAGCAATAGCAAGCTATTGTTATAATTTACCTGGACGTCAGTCTTTCTTGCATTCTTCTTGCAATAGCCTAATAAAGAAAAAGACAGGACGAAACATGAAAGGGGAGGTTTCTAATGATTTTCTTCTTCCTCTGAATAGAATATGGTGAAGAGATTGTGGGATGCACAAAGCCATTGAGTTTTCAGTGACAACTGTTGTTGTTGGAGAGATGAAAGCACTTGGCCCAAGAGTCTGTTTATATGTTTGAGCAGAGAAAGTGATTGTCATTGCAAGGAGCTCTAAGTGAGACAGGCAGAGTCAGAGAATAGGAGAGCAAAAGATAATTATCTAAATTATGTTCAGGCTATTATAGAAGACGAATATAGTTAAAATGTAATTAAATATGACAGGCTTACAGGATGCAAGCATGGCTTTAGAATGCTAATCATCAATTACTGCATCTCCTTAGGGGAGCTGGGCAGAACAAGAGCGTTAGAAGTCGGGTGGTTGAGGTGAGATGTAGAGTGTTAAATAAAACACTGTAGGACTGTAACAAGGCTAATTTCTTTTGGAAAATGGAGCTGTGGTATCAGGGGACCTTCGCTAGCCAAACAACTTGTAGTGCTGCATTTCAGTTTGAGGACCCTGGTATAAACCTGAGGAGGCTGCTAGTCCCAAGTCTTCTCTTAGAGATGTAAACCTCAGCTTGAGATAGTGATTATTTCTGTTGTGAAAGTGATGTCCAGGACTGCTGCAGAATGAGCAGCAAATCTAAAATGAATCAACCAGCAAGACAGGTATGAAAGCAGAAAAAAAGGTCAACACTTCCTGAATGTTTAAAAAAGCTAAACCCTGAAAAATCAATTTGTTATAGGGTCACTAATAAGGAGTACAGAGATACAAAAAGTCCAAAGACAACAATGTTAGTTTATGGGAGAAGTAAGTTCTGATAGCTTCTTTATGACTGTGTCCTAGGTAAAGAAGGTGAAAGTATTGCCACCAGCTTGAAAGATTTGTTTGCTTGGCATATGGGGAGTAAAGGTGAAGAAATGGCACCTATTACACAGAAATATCTCATCCCAGACCAAAAATGAGGTGCTTTTGATACGTTTTAATGCTGCTGTTCCTGGACTACATTGACTTATGTATGACTCAATACCAGACCTATGTATAAAGTTTGGAGGTAATTTTTGTAGAGACCATCAAAAATGATTTTGAGGATAGAAAGACTAGCTCTTATGAGGAAAGCATAAAATAAGCACATACGCATGGCATGACTACAAAATTATTTGTGAAATAAAATTTCTACAGAGAAACTGAAGTTATTACAATAGTACCAGAAGAGATAACTAGTAGTAAAGGAGGACGACTAAAAAGAAACTTAAGGCTTACCTATGATGTTTTTAATTTAATTGAGGAACACCACTGAACAATTGTTATGGCTTGATACATAAATAGAAGTCTTACTGAATATGTTATTTCAGCAAAAAATGCAAAAAGAGGGCAGATATGCCTTGATAATGTTCTGTCAGTAATCTCTCTTCCCACATGGGTATAGTTACACTGCATAATTGTATCTGTACTGGGGAGGTATTGCTTTGTATGTATCGATGTTCCCAAATGTACTGTTACAGTCGAAACCGGTGCAACTTTCTAGTGAAGAAGGTTTGCCTTGCTTATTTCTAAAGTGACTTTTTCCAAATCCATTTGGTTTTTCTACTTTGTTTTTTCCTTTTTGCTAAGGAAATAAACTAAGAGATCTAATTTTCTCATTATCCCATCAAGTACTAATTCTCTAGTGGCAATATTCTTCAATTTTAATAACTTGAGTTTTAATAACTCTTCTAGAAATTGTCTTTAATTTTTACTTTCTTTTTCCAATGGAAAAGGAATAAAATAGACACATACCAAAACAGTAAATACTCTTAGGACCAAGTTTATTGAAAACCCTATCTCTCTGGAAGTCTCACATCCTCAGGAATTTTTTTTACTATTTTTTATCATGTTTTAATATTATTAAAAGGGTAATTATAATCCAATCCTAATAACAGCATTGTAGCAGAAAGTAAGGACTTGTAATGAAGTGGGAAGTGGAAGAACTTGGGAGCTTCCTGGAGGAGCTGATCTAGACGTGTTGTCAAAAGGATCTTCAGAGGCCTTTTTCTCAACCTGTCTTGTTATCTGTCATGCTCTTCAGCTGTATTCCCAAATACATGCATCAGCTTTCTTGTCACCTCATACGTCAGACAATGGTATTTACTGCCAGCTTTGGAAAATCTGCATTGAACTCTTGCAGTGTGTATTTGACCAGTGCTCAGAAGTACTATAGATAAATACAGACCCATTTATATTCTATTCTATGATCCCTAATTAACCTATTTTCTTGTCACAGAACACAAACTCTACTTTAGAGGCTAGGAAGGCATAGGCTCTTCTTAATAGCTTCTTTAGGATTTTAAACTCTTATTTAGAATAGCTTTAGAATATTCTCCAAGACACTAACTAGGGAAATCTTATTTTTACATCATCACTCTCCTTGCATAAAGTGTGTGTGTGTAAATGTGAAAGCGTATGCATAATGCAAACTATGGTAATGCTTTGTTATGAGAAGTAGTGTTGCAATCATCTGATTGTCCCAGCCACTCATCTTTGGGACTCTATTGGCCATGCAGATTAACTGACTGACTGCACTAGAGTAATATCAGAAGGAAACTCAGGAAGAATTGTTCTCCTGTTTAGGGAAAAAAATGTTTAAATTGTGGCAGTCTTTCAGATCTCGAGACAGTCACCAAAATAGTCCATTCTCATTTTATATTTTATTTAGAGCTTGCAGAAATAGCCTGAGCTTTAAAATAAGGAGGACGTAGCTGCATAAAGGGATATAAATAAACCATGCCGTTAGATAGATAACTGCTGTACCTCTGAGGTCTAACACAGACTGCACCTTTCTATTATGATGAGTAACTCCGATTACATCCATTACTTCATGCAGTAATAGAATCATAGATGCTTTGGGTTGGAAGAGGAAGCTACTTGAAATTAGGTCTTGATTGGGCTCATAATCTTCTTTAAGCAAATATAACCTGACAGCAGTGATAAAAGTAATAGTTGACTAAGTTAAACCCAGAAATGCTGGGTTTGTGACGACATTTTCCTACTAAGGGAAAATTCAAGTGCCTGACAAAGAGTCAGCAACCAAGCTGTTCATATGGCCAGGCTTTGGGGTGGTCTACTGGTGGCAAGTGGTGTTTTATTCCAGTTCTGCTTTAGTCCCTTATTTCTTGTATGAACACTTCTGAAGGTATTCTGAATGCATTCAGGAAAACTATCCAATGTTCTTCTTCTGTAGTGAGTTAATCAAGTTATACTTGACTACATTTTATTTCTGAAGGCTTCTGTAACGGAGTCTAGTTTTGCTAAAACGTTAAATTCTGTATCTAGCTTTCATGTTTCATGAATATAAAATAATTTAAATTCTGATGTGTTCAAGTACTAATCTAGTGTAGTGGAAGACTGGCATCAAACTGAAACCTCTAGTTCCTATTCTTTTTGTTTCTTCTGTTTTACTGTAAGTGCATGGTAGGAATTGGTGTCCTTTTCCTACTGTGTATTAGGCTACTTGAGGTGGTGTACCTCACCCAGATCAGAAGAGTATGAATGAGGAAGGAAGATTATAGTGGTCCCAGTCTGCCTCTAGTGTTCTCATTCTGGCCCAAAAAGTTGTATTACAGCTCTGGGGAGGTGGTCTGCTCTCCCCACTCCCTCTGTGTCAGGATGTGGAAATCCTCACAACCTGCACTGGGAAGAATGCTTTATGTCATTTGTAATTTACTGGAAGGACCTTGGCCCACACAAGGCTTGGCTCCTCTGCCTTCACTGCTCCACTTAAATTGGGAAGAGTTTATTTGAGTTTTTGGGTGGGTTTTTTTTCCCTAAAGCTGTAATTTTCTTTTAATCTTTCTCTGATGTTTCTCATGAGTAGTTGCCTGGTTGCAGCTGGAATAGAGTTAATTTTCTTCCTAGTAGCTGGCATAGTGCTGTGGTTTGGATTTAGCATGAGAAGAATGTTGATAACAAGCTGATGTTTTAGTTGTTGCTAAGTACTGCTTATGCTAGTCAAGGACTTTTCAGCTTCCCATGCTCTGCCAGGTGCACAAGAAACTGGGAGGGGGCACAGCCAGAAGAGTTGATCCAAACTGACCAAAGGGCTATTCCATACCATATGACGTCATGCTCAGTATATAAACTGGGGGGGGTTGGCCGGGGAGCAGCGATCGCTGCTTGGGAATTGTCTGGGTATCGGTCGGCGGGTGGTGAGCAATTGCATTGTGCATCACTTGCTTTGTATATTATTATTATCATCATCATTGTTATATTGTTGTTATTACTACTACTATTTTACTTTATTTCAATTATTAAACTGTTCTTATCTCAACCCAGGAGTGTTTCTCACTCTCACTCCTCCGATTCTCTCCCCCATCCCATCGGAGTAGGGGGAGTGAGCAAGCGGCTGCGTGGTGCTTAGTTGCTGGCTGGGGCTAAACCACGACAGTAGTTAATGGATAGATGCATTTACTTTTATTCATCTGATATTTTGTTTATCTAATACAGTCAATATTAGTCAAGGATTTTAGACTTTGATTCAGGTTTTTTTTTCTTTTACCATTTTCTTAACTTTCAGCAATAGTATGAGTATTATTCCTGCATACAAATTATAGTAGTATAAGGTATGTATGAAAACACATAAGCAGAGTCAAGGCACTTAAAAATAAAAATGAACAAGGAGTCCTGGAAATTCAGGTGTTGAAAAGTGTTTATCTATTTGCCCTATTAAGTGATAATAGTACATACTGTCACTTGAGTGGATTCTCTGTATATGTTACTGCAAGCTGTTGTGACTGTGTTTAATATTTGTATGTCATTCTGGAATTTTTTTTGTAGATCCTGGCAAACAATCACTTTTGATAAACAGCCTGCATCTTTTATCAGAATAGTCGGAACTCACAACACAGCTAATGAGGTAAGGAACTTTTAAGAAAACCTATATGCTTTGTGAATATACAACAGTACAGTTTTTCATATCTTGCAATGAAATTGATAATGCCTTCTAAAATGTACTTGCTTCATTTGTTTGCTCTGGCAATCTAGCAAAATAAGAATGAATGCTTTTCTTATTTGAGTATTTGTGAACTGTGTCATCGTCTTCCCTACAAGAGTTGAAGGGCTGTTGCCAGTCTGGGGGATATTTTGGGGGTTTTATAGACAAAGTACAGTAAAGTGTTTCTGGTTTTGACCTTTCCACGGCGGCATCAAACATTCCTATTGGGTTTGGTTTAAAATCAATCCTTATTTTGATGAATGATGAAAATACCATTTTAGTGCACTAGAGGAAGGTGTATAGTCTCTCTTACTTGGTTTTGTCACCTTTATATTATCTTTTTAATAAATAAAACATAAGAAAAAACTCATTCTTCATAAGAAAATCTTATTTACATAAGATTCTCTTATAATTAATTTTCATACCTGGTAGATCAGTTAACCAACAGTGGCCAAACCAAGAGATTTTTTTCAATTCATTTTATACAGAAAAAATGTATTTTGCCCTAACCGACCAAGTGCAATATCATCCCCTTTTTGTTTGCTTTTGCATCTGTCTTTTGTAATTGTGTGTTGTCTCAGAAGAAGTCCAGGTTTTACAGTTGACTTCAGTGAAACAATTTAGAATATGTGAATTTAAGAATATATGTAAGTCTTTGTGAGATTAGGACCTTATATGACGAGATTATAAGAGGCACCAAAAGCTGCTGCTTCTGTGTGTATGCATGCATGTCTACATCCCATACATGTAGTTCACCACAAAACATTGTACTTTCACACTTTACAATGAACTTTGGATAGCACTATTACATTTGTAGTAATTAGAGTTTGTCAACTTTAGCTGATCATATTTAGCACATGAGGTTGCTGGTTCTTAAGCATTGGAAGAATTGTCAAATAGCATTGTTTATGTCCAATTTTAGAGCAATTATTGCAAACATATGCACCACCAGATGTCAACATTAGTTCTCAGCAGACAGTTGGAAAGAAGCTGACCAATCAAGTGAACTGGGAATACATGGGGTTTTTTTATCTAAGCACTGTTTCTTGCAATGTACAGTTCAGTCTTAATCAATGAGTTCATAGAAATACAGAGTCAGAAGCTGCCTCCAGGGTGGTTGTACTTGCATGAAGAAGGCCTTTTCCATTACTGATCCATATAGACAGTCTTGTTTGCTCTCATGCCAGTCTCTGCATGTTCTCATCTCTTTAATAAAAAAGAATGAGGTGCATATGTCATACGTGTATATGTACTTGGCCTTCCTGCTTTGTATGTCGGGCCTTTCTTAAAATATCCATGAGAGGTAAACTTAGCAAATCAGCCTACAAGAAACATTATCTCCAACTTTTAATTCTTAAGGTAGCTTTAAGCCTTGGAGAGTAATGGGCTTTTAAACATAACTCTAATTTCAAATTGGTTACTATTTGCAAGGAATTTAATATCCTGTGTAGTTATTTATGTGGAGCACTGCATAACTATAGTGAAGATCAGTATGTGCAAATTGAGGTTACAGCTATTCATGTAGTGGCTCAGTGGAACTATAAACACAGTCTGCTGTTCTAGGTTTTTTTCTCTTTTGTCTTTAAAATCTGTACCCAACACTATTTTTTTTTTTTTTTTAAATTATTTCTCCTAAAGCGAGTAGAGGAAGAGCATTATCAGCATGCACATATTACTGAATTACATTTTATATATATATATTAAAGAGGTGGTCTATAACATTTTGTCATAAATATTCATTTCCCAAAGGTGGTAGCAAGATATTTTTCATACTTCCAGTTTAAATAATAACAGTGTAACCAAAGTCTTGGTTTGTTCTGGAGTCTATAGTCTCAGTAGTCTCTTCAGTAAGAACACGAACAGTTTCCAGAATTATTTGCCCACAGCTGGTTGTATTTTATGTCAAACCATTCTCACTTTAAACAAAAGATGCTAATGGCAGCATATTCTCATCAAGGAGTTCTTCTGTAGTTGGTACAAGAATATTCCCTTCTTGTTCTACTGACACATACCTTTGAACTTTGAAGCACAACTATACTTTCCAAAGGGAAGAGCTGATTTTTGGAATTGCAAAAAATCCCATAAAATTTCTCCATCTTGTGAATGATTTAATCTTTTAAACTCATCTTTTCCTTTGCCATGTTTTCCAAGTTTTGAAAGACAGGATGTTCACAAGATTTTTTTTTACCTGGCATTTGAATATTTTTTTTGTATGTTAGAACATGATAGAAGTGCAACTTTTTGTTTTCTTGAGCTTCCAGTCATCCTACTTTTATAAAGAAAAGGATTATTTTTCCTTAGTCCTTGTCATCATTTATTTGTCAGACAGGTCACCTGATACTTTGACTGTGTAAGTTTTATCTTCTTATTCCTCTTCAGTATTACTGACCTGGAAAGGACACCTAGTTGCTAATGCGAGAGCTTTATCTTACAAATCACTGCAC